TGCCCGCCTGAACTCTAACCCTGAAATCTAAAGCCCAGCGATATGTAGAATAACGCCCAGTTGGCGTGTGTTCGATGTCTCTGGTTTAGGGGTTAGGGTTGGGGCTGTTATTTGAACTACTCTAGGGGCTTAGGTACACAAGGTACCTGCCGTTTTTGGAATGGCAAAACTCGCTTTCCTTGCCTTGCCCCACCCATGGCTGAATACGCTGTACTGCGACAACTCAGCGTCATCCAGGCAGCTGACCGACTCGCGCAATTTGAAGGTTTTAGGGGCTAGGGTTGACGAATATTTGGTCCCTAACCTGACTGTACAGAAGGTCCGCCTTGGCAAAGCTAGCCATGCGGATGCAATTCTCCGGCTATTCCTGACCGAGCCCGTGAAGAATGAATTCATCTCCCCATGACATCATCTAGGAACTTCTCAACACCCTCAGCTGGCTCTCTTGTTTCCTGCGCTTTTCTGAAAAAAAACACACAATCACAAGTCCTTGACCCTCGACCCAAAGCCTTAGACTCCCAACCCCAAGCCCAAAACCCAAATGCCAAAACCCTTTTAACCCCAGACCCGGAACCCTCAACCCTTAACCGAGTCCGCAACAAGTAGAGGCAGCGCTAGCTTGCCAGTGGACCTCATTGATCTGCCCGTTCTGCTTGGCCGCTACGCTGAGAGGGAGAAGATGAGCTTTTCTTCTGTCCGTGCTTTGGGTTTAGAGTTCGGGATTTAGTTTTCAAGGGCTTTGGGTTTAGTTTTTAGGGTCCCGAGTTTAGGGCTATCCTTCTTCTGCTTTAACGGAACAGCACCTGACGAGATAGAATCAGATACAACCCGCAGCATGGCAAGAAGGCCCCAAACTCCGCTTGCCTAAGCTCTAAACCCAGAACCCCCTTCAAAGGATCCAACAAATGGACCCTCCCCCCCAATATGAACCCAAAATGTCTTGGGGTAAGTAGGGGGTAAACCACCTAAACCCCACATGCTCCATCCCTAAACCCTAAACCCTAAACCCCTAAACCCTAACCCCCTAAACCCTAGACCCTAAACCCTGGTGTTTCAGGTCCGGGCTGAACAGCAACGACACGCAAAGCAATGTAGCACCTCGCAGCTATCAAGTAGGTTGCTGCTAGGGTTTGTAGGGTTTAGGGTTTAGGGTCAAGGGTTTAGGGTCTGCTTAAGTAGACCGCACTATCACCCGCATATATCCTCATTCTGGAATCTGATTTTCAAGCTCAATGAATTTTCCATTACGAGGAAAACCTACCATGGACTATGTGCCCAAGTTGTATGTGGAAACTTGATTCAATGTTCCTCAATTGCAATTCACAGGGATTTTTCTGAAAAGCTGGGTGCCACTGGTTTCCTACGGCCACAGGTGGATGATGAGAGGTCTTGCTGAACTAGAGTTAAGAGCTAAAAGGGTTGAGTGTTTAGGGCTTTCCATTGCTAGACTTACTGGTTAAAAATGAATGAAGGAATGGAAAAGATGATGGACCCGATCCTCTTGTGTAAGGTTTAGGGGTTAGAAAACATGGATGCTACTATTGGAGATTATATGAGCCATAGTCTACGCTCCTACTATCCCCCTTTATAAGCCCCGTATCAGGAACCCAGAATCATCCCGTATGTATTCCCTTTGAGGAATTTAGAGTTTGGGTCATGTAATGCTTGTTATGCGAATCCATTCTCACTAACCAGCCCCTAGAAGGGCTTGGGACTGAATTTGATGCCAAGAGAACTCACCCCGATAGGAAGGACCCAACATGGGGTTTAGGTTAGGGTTTTGCGGCTTCAGGCCTGCTCGATGGCAGCTAAACGCAAAAATTAATCACCCTTCTCTTGATGTGCACGTAATGTAACAGACCGATCAATTAGCAATAGCATGGGCCTAAATTCCTTTTGTATTCATGGTATGGAGTACCGCAAATAAACCGCAAAATCATATCCCTACAGCCCATAAAAACTCCTACATACATTCCGTGTTCATTTCAATTTCTTCTCCGTTTGATTCACCATAATTCGGGATATCCTAAACCCAAAACCCCAGCCCCGAGAATACACATATCCCTTTGGCCCAAAGGCCAGCCCGGGCGGGAAACCATACCCTAACCCTAAACCCTAAAACTCTAAACTCCGAAGCCCTAAAGCCCTAAACCCTAAAAACCTAAACCCTAAAAGCCTAAACCTTGAAACCCTAAGATCCCTAAGCCCTAGAACCCTAAGATTCCTAAACCATAAAACCCTAAACCCTAAGACTCTTAAAGCCTAAAACCCTAAAACCTAAGACCCCTAAAACCTAAAACCCTGAACCTTTGCAGGACCTGAGAACAGCCCCGCAACATTGAAACGAAGCTCAACTCTCTGATCCCTACTCTTACTCATGGTTTGTAGGAAATAAGGGAATATAATCCCTATATAGGCTCCATATAATATATTCCCTAATTCCCTAATAACCACCATGAAGGACTTGGTGGTATCAGAGAGGTGAGGGTTTTGGGTTGAGGGTCAGGGGGACATTAGCAATTAGATTAATGCTAAGGATAATTGGAATTTTCATTGGTAGCAGGGGTTACAAGTAGACTTGCTGAGCCCCCTTGAGCCCCTAAGGTACGCACTCCTTCTCTACCAGCGCCCATATACCCTCGCCATGTCATGCATGCTTTGCAGTAGAAACCCACAGGACCCCCACACTCTAAACCCCCTCAGGCCTACGCTCTGTAGCTGACGCTTCAAAATAGAAGCCACACCCAAAACACTCATTCCAAATAACTCAGAATCTCCAGCTCTGTTCGGTGAGGCCAGGCATCCGGCTGCAGGGAGAAAACCCAAAGCAGCAGCGCTGGAAAGGCCAGCAGCGCGATGGACGCAGTCTGCGGGCAAGTTTGGACTAAGGGCTCATCCCTTAGGATTCTTGAGTGACCCATTGCAAGTGGCACCCTGGCCCAAACGACATGGAAGTGGATATGGCTCTCTGATTCAAACTCACAATGCTTGCAGAACCTTATTGAGCTTCCATGTTGGTTTCAGAGGCCTCGTATGGTGCATGTCCTGGAGCTTTCATGGCATGCAGCGGTTTAGTGGGTTCCAAAAACTAGGAGCCTTCTTCCCTACAACGAGGAGTGGAGTTTAGTACTTTATGGAGACCCTTCATGTGGGCCGGACAGCAAGGAAACCCACGACTTATATGCGGAAAGACACCAGACCTGAGAGGTGCGTCAGTGCTCGTACAAACGGCAATAGTAAGTGCGTGGGGTGAACAATACTGACCCCAAATGAACTTCTGGGAGGCGACACGCTGCATGATAGTCAATGTGCCAAGCTACGGTGGATACTAGTCATGCTGCCTGACCCTGAGCATCCCATACCGTGGGAATTATGGCATGGTAATACAGTAGGGCCATGCAGGATGTTTAGTAATCCTCTCCCTCTTAATATTCAACCCCCGCACTCCCCTAATATTAAATACTCACCATTGTGGCATATCATAATATATTGGGAATATTTAATATTAGGGAGGGTGGGGGTGGGGACTTAATATCAGGGGCGGTAGGGGTGGGGACCTAATATTAGGGGAAGGGGATTATCAACTATAGAACGACATGCCGGTACAATACAAGCAGCCTGGTCACACAGTGAACTTCTCCCAGCCTTCTGTGGCGTCTTCGGCGAGGATGTCACTTCTCCTGCCAGTTGCTACAGGAAGGCTAATGCGGGGGCTTAAACTAGTCCCCATATGGTTTTAGGGTGTGGTACCCTACAGTATAATTACGCTAGGAATCTAGGACTGTGATAGTGGTAACTATTTAGGCCCCTACAGGACAACACCAAAAACCCAGTGTCCATTGAATTTTCGATTTTCCTGTAGGCCCTAGATAATCCCCTACATATCCCCACAACCTGGTAATTATTTAGGCTACTTAGGTTCAACAGCGTCTTTCCACTCAACGAGGCCAGGCAAGGAAGTACTTTGGGTTCAGGGATGAGGCTTAGTTTCGGGATAGTATCATCAATAATGGAGATTCAAATGGAACACGACATGGCATCTGGGTTCGGGTAGACAGTGTAGCAGGTTGCAAAGGGAGTATGGGTCCTGGCACCCCAAGTGGTTTCTTGCCAGAATACAGCCGCGGGAATCTCTGCGATTGCACATGTCTGATGTAAAGGGAGTGAAATGGGAACCCCAAAACATGTAAGCCCAATAATATAGTAGGAATGTAAGGACCCCTATAGGTATCTTCGAATTCTATTCCTCACTAGATTCTAGGGGTTCCCTGTTTTGGGTTCCCATTACAACCCTTCGCGAAGAAATCTATAAGGCAAGATAACCTGCCACAAAAGGTGGCATTCGGGATACATCTTCAAGATCAACATGACCATGGTAATTGAAACTACCTTTATGTACCTAGCCTGGCAGCCAAAGTTTTTGATTCATCCGTTTAGGGGCTATGGTTAAGGATCTATAGGATTAAGGGCTCCGGAGCGCTGGCATTACCTATAGCCTACACCGCAACTACTTGTAGAACTACTCAACATCAATGATTGTGATTTCTGCTTATCCTAGACTACTTACTACTCCAGCCCCAAAGAGGATCCCCTTACTGTTGAGGCAGTTAACAGAGTGATTTGCGTGTAGGGATGTTTGCCGCAAGTAGCACTCCAACTCATTGTCATGTTGCCCTCCATCTGTAAGAGAACTACCATCTTCATCAATCACGCTGTCACATGTTTTCTCTTTCCCGAGGTGGCGATTCTGGACAACTCTCCTTGAAGCAAAAAGCAGCAGAGCTTCAAACGCCTCACAATTTGAGGACAGCGCCTGCTGCCACGCGAATGAACTGATCATCTCGCGAAACTGTTCTGCATTGCCCATCTCTACGGATGTGCAATATCGAACCAATATTTGGTGGTAGGGGACTTACAGGGATTCAATGGGAATTTGGGTTTTAAGGACTATGAATTTGAGCTTGGTTGGGGTGGGATGAAAGACAAAATCGTGACAGCACTTAGACAATGACAGAGGTGTACGCTGGTTCCTCCACTCCTGTATAGACGGAGGTGTCAATAGCTTTCAAGCCAACCCACGCGCGCATGGCATTCACGATCTCCTTGTCGCGGTGGACACGTGTGTACATGCCTTTACCCTTGTCATAGCCGGTGGATTTCGCATCGAAGGCCTGCTGGAACGGCATACCCTTGCAGCCATCGCCTAGGGTAGGTTTGGGGGCCCTTTAAAATTAACTTTTCATGGCTTACGTACTAAGGGATCAAACGTAACAAAAACCAAAAGCTGTTTTCTAACCTGCCCCTGTCACAGTTCACTTTGCAGAGGGAGCAGTCCGACTTGCCATCTGGAATGCCCTGATTGTCCCCTTCCCCCCAGTAGTAGGAGGATAGGATGACTCGGATGGGATAATCCTCGGCTGCTTTGATCATGCAAAGGCTACGAAAATGGAATGAACTCTGATGATTCTTCAATTTCAGCTTGAGTTTCATTTTCTGATTAGGTTTCTTGCTGTCTGATGGGGGGCTGAGAGTTCGGGGCCACATGCTACTCAACATAATGCTCGAGCAAATTTAGATGCACCAGCCAAAATGCGGCACAGTGAATATCATGGAGGAAGCCCCTGACCACAAAACCCTAAATTTCCCACAACCCCTTCAGAGTTACTATGCATCCTGCTCCAAGCACTTACAAGGAAAACGCATTGCCCCCGACAGTCCTAAACCCTAAAACCCTAAAACCCTAAACCCCTAAACCCTAAACCCCTAAACCCCTAAACCCCTACACCCTAAACCCCTAAAACCCCTAACCCCTAAACCCTAAAGCCTAAACCGTCCTTGGCATTGTCCTGGGCCCCTGGAGGCGAGGTGAAGAGTGAAACCTCGTGGCCGCGGTGGGTGGACTCGTCGCAACCCTTGATGAGGACCTGAGGTGTCCGTTTAGGGTTTAGGGTTTA